TTGGTGAGATTTTTTTCTTTTTTTCTTTATCTTTACACAAATTGAATCCTATGGTTTTGTATCGTAGTATATGTTGAGGAGTTTCTCTGTATATTCTCCAAACGTCAAGACATTATCAGAGAGAGATATATCTTCATGGCTTGTTACTTCCTTTGGGAATGTAAGCTTCTGATCCCTAAAACACCACAACACACATTTTTTTTTTTGTTACTAACCTTTGTACAATAATATTCCAATGCTAAATCTGGTTAAAAGAATTATCAACCAAAAGCTATCTTTGTTCATAATAATAATACCAGTCAGGTTGCATGAACAATGCAAATGTCGATCGCTCTAGACCACGAGCCTCCTCTCCTTGTGGCGCCTGAACACATAAAACAAGAAATTATGGGTCGTTTTCGGAGTAGAGATCCAACAATTAATACAATAGAAAGTAACCATGACGAAAAAAAAACTTCAGGAGGCATCCGCAAAGGCATGGAGATTATTACCCGTACACAATGAGGTGTAGCACAAAGAGAACCCCTTGACAGAATTGCGGTTGTCTCGCCTATTTGGTATGCTATTTCATCTTCCCCATACACAACCTAATTAAATGCAATGGAAGCAATTCTTAAGAATATTAATCATAACAGATAAATGATGCAGACTGGACAAAGTATTGCTCGTATGCATAAGAGAATAAATTTGGGTTTCACTGATAGGCTCCATTAAACTATGCACAGTGCCATAGTCATCAGGAAGGACTAGTACTGTACCTTAACGATCTGACCCGACCGTGTTTGTATGTATAAGCCAGCACCAGAATCTGGGCAAGGTACTTCCACTGAATTTCTAGAAAAAATTGCACGAGTAAGACCTGTGGATAATCATAAAAGGATACACTTAAAACAACATATCGCAAATGCAAGACGGAAGATGGTTGTTTTATTTATAATAAACCGTCTTAAAAAGGAAAGCAAGAGAGAAGAAAAACAGCAACCTGTTAGTGAACCATGGTCCGTATGCCATCCACACCAAGATGATATGGAATCATTGTCATGGGTAGTGCTGGACCAGAGAAAATAAGTCAATATATCAGACAATGAAGTGCCTTTATCGCCCAAATGCAAACTCTAGTTTTAAAGAGGCATCTATAACATGAGTTCACAAGTATTGGCAGCTAGGGACTGAACTCCAAAAGTAAACCAGCAGATTAAAAGCTTGTAAAGAGGTGGCATATAAGTTTACCTGTCCTGTGCAGGAAAATAATAAAGCAGCCGTCCTTTGTGACACCGAGAGCCAAGTAGTATCTTCTCAAGACTTTGCTTTTCATGTTGGTTTAAATCCTTTGACACTGCAAATCATGGATTGTGAAGGGCTTCAGAAAATAGAAAATGACCTAAACAGAAAAGAATTCTAGCTCTATGAAAAACTCAGTGTCCTATCAAAAAGAAACAGCAAAAACCAGATTCATGTTGCACTTCATCCGTAATGCACAATGCTCAGACCATGACAACATCCAACAACGTGAGTGATTTCAGATATTATATTCACTAACCAATACTAATGTATTAAGAAGTGTATTAGGCTACTCTACTAACACAGTTACAGAATGCATCCTGTTTTCCGGAATAATTGGGACAATTTCTGCATTTTGGATGAAATTTCAAAAGAAAGCTTACAGCCTTACACTTAAACAATCTTTGCAAGCGAAGCTTCAATGTCACAAGGAAATCTATTCAAGTATGTTCATAGATATATTCAATGACCCCACTTACCATATTGATCACAGTGGTAAGCTACCATTAGCCCAACTTCAAACATCAGATTACCAAGAGCTTTGAAAGCTGTAATGTTTAAAAGTAAACATTCTGTTATTTGGAGGAAAATAATAAACGAGCAAAAAAAAAAGTGAAAAGAATAGTGCAGCAATGAAAGGTTGCAAACGCAAACACATGCTCATGTGATCATTGATACATAATAAAAATAGCAATTCACTCTCAAAAATGAAACACAAAAAAAAAAATATTTCCGATTAAAAGAAAACTAACTAAATCCAAAAGTAAAGCAAGTATCACCTAATTACCTCCTTCAAGTTCCGGCAAAGAATTCCTTGGCCATATGTTTGATCCACAGTACCATGGATACCTACATGAGGAATGGAGGCGGAAAATATGAAGATGCAATGCCAAATTAATAGAGGAGAAGCAGTCTATTACTTTTCATGCAGACCAGAACAGATAGTTCACGTACAAACTTATAATAGAGTATCTGGGAAATACAAGCGTTCAATCAGGCAGTCAAATATTTCAACAGATTTCAAGAATGCCGCAAAATATTGTTAACATAAACCATGACATAGGGGTTATATATACCGCTGGATTTCAAATGAATTACTCGTGGGTACATCTTGTAGAGGATTAGCATAGAAAGAACCCTTCAACATGTCTGCACAAAACAATACCCAAGCTTTCCTTTTGAGTACTTTCATCAGAGCAGGCCAGAGAAATTGATAAACTTGTCACAAAAAACTTCTTGTATACAAGAACCGGATCCATAATATAGTTCAATAAGTTCCTGCAGTTATCTAACGACAAGTAACTAAGCCAAACAGGTAATTAAACAAAAAACTTTCTTAAGCGAAATAATCGAGATTCTTCTCCAGGAGTAACTACGAAATCTCGTTTGGTCACTGGAGATATACTACGGCAATAAAACAGTCTATATATAATAAGCTCACCAAGCTTCCCGGATTCAAGTTTCTCCTTGCCATGACTCCAACCGAAATTGTACCTTAGAAGAAACAAAGAAAAAAGTGAAGGAATTGAACAACGGAAAAGGAGACCATAACCAATCATCAAAAGAAACGATGAAAGATCGTATATTCACCTACTATGAGCGTCTTCGAGCTCTCTCTTTACCTCTTCAGGAAGGCCAGCTAACCTTTTACAGAGTAAATAATCATTCATTCATTTTTACAATTGAAAAACTCTAAATCATCAAATAGAATCAATCAGCTATACAAAAAAAAAGAAACCTTTACCTAGGTGCAAGACGAAGTAGATTCTGACGTAAATCTGAATACCCTGGAACCTAAACAACATAATCAAACTTCAAACTCAAAAAATTTCAAATCTTTAACTCCTAATCAACATATTGAGGTGACAAATTCTACTATAATCCGTTTAAGAAGAGATAACTATGGAGTAAGAAGTGATTCATACATCTTTAACGGAAAGGATTCCAAGTCCATTAGGTCCGAATCCTTGTTCAATCTTCCCAGACAGATCTATGTTGCTCTCCTAAAAAAAAAAAAAACACCACTCAATTGTTGTAAGAGAAACAAGAGTTATACTTCAAAAGACCAAATTTCGAATCAATTTTGTACCTTGAGCTCAGAGTAGGATACGGTGACGGTGCTAACCGTATGAACGGTGGATTCCGACGAGCGAGACATGTGTCACGGCACGTAATCAGAGACGAAAAGAGACCGACGAAACGGAATCGGTGACGGCACGCCGGCGATCGGAGGTCAATTTTCAGGTGAAAGCTTTATTATAGTTG